TATAAACTACCAAGATTGAAACAGGAAGAAATTGATAACCTGAATAGACCAATAACCAGTAACAAGATTGAAGCAGTGATCAAAAACCTCCCAAAAAACCAGACTCCAGGACCTGATGGATTCCCTGGGGAATTCTACCAAACATTCAGAGAAGAAATAATACCTATTCTCCTGAAGCTGTTTCAAAAAAATAGAAACAGAAGGAAAGCTTCTAGACTCATTCTATGAGGCCAGCATTACCTTGATCCCCAAACCAGGCAAAGACCCCATCAAAAAGAAGAATTTCAGACCAATATCCCTGATGAATATGGATGCCAAAATTCTTAACAAGATCCCAGCTAATAGGATCCAACAGTACATGTGATGCAAGGGTGGTTCAACATTCACAAATCAATCAATATGATAGAACACAGTAATAAGAAGAGAGAAGAACCATATGGTCCTCTCAATTGATGCAGAAAAAGCATTTGACAAAATACAGCATCCTTTCCTGATTAAAACTCTTCAGAGTATAGGGATAGAGGGAAAATTCCTCAATTTCATAAACTCTATCTATGAAAAACCCACAGCGAATAGCATTCTTAATGGGGAAAAGCTGGGAGCCTTTCCCTTAAGATCAGGAACATGTCAAGGATGCTCACTCTCACCACTATTGTTGAACATAGTACTAGAAGTCCTAGCAACAGCAATCAGACAACAAAAAGAAATAAAATGTATTCAAATTGGCAAAGAAGAAGTCAAACTCTCTCTCTTCACAGATGACATGATAATTTATGTGGAAAACCCAAAAGACTCCACCCCCAAATTACTAGAACTCATACAGCAATTCAGTAATGTGGCAGTAATGTGGCAATTCAGTTCTGTGTCATCCCTTATTAAAATAATTCTTATCGTCCTTATTCCTGCTGGTTATGTAGGCTACAATGAAGGGTACATGCTTGAGAGCTCCCCTTTCAGGGCTTCCCAATTCCATTTGGAATTATTTCCACAATATAAATGGATATTTTAACTTAATGGGCTTCTAAACTTGTAGCTTCCTATTCAGATCCCACTGTCCCAGATAGGAAAATCCAGTAATCTCAGCCATTTCCAGTGGATTCTTTGATAAATATTGTAAATTATGAAGGTCTAATACAGAATTTCTTTTTCTTTTCTTTTTTTACAAATTGAGAATTTCATCATTTAATCTCAAGAAAAACTTTGATTTTTCTCACTGGCCCATCTGAACTTTTTTTTTGCTGCTTTAGTGAAGTCGGCATTACCTTAGATTAACTTGGTATATATTTTGTCATGAAATGCCTTTTCCCCGTTTTAGAAATCACTATCTTGAATTTCCCCCTAAATCTGGTCTTGCATAATCTTCCCTAATCAACAGACAACTACACCTTCCCTAATCCTAATCAATAGCTACACCTTCCATGCATTGGCTCAGGTCAATGATCAAGGAGTCATTTTTCATTCCTTTCCCTTACTACATTGCTCTACTCAATCCATCAGCAAATGTGGATGATTCTATCCCCAACATATCTTTCAAATTCCTACATTTATCTCTATTTCCACTTCTAACATCACCATGTTAGTCCACAGTCATGGACTATCCACAATCGCAATTCCTAGCCACAGTCACCTCTTGTCTACTCTTCCTCAATACTCCCATCTAGTCTTCATGCTTTCATACTTGTCCTATTCCAGTCCATTCTTCTATAGCATCAAGAGTCATTGCCTTAAAATTCAAATTGCATTGGGGGTGCCGGGGTGGCTCAGTCAGTTAAGCATCTGCCTTCGGCTTAGGTCATGATCCCAAGGTCCTGGGATCAAGCCCCATGTTGAGCTCCCTGCTTGGTGGGGAGCCTGCTTCTCCCTCTCCCTCTGCCTGCTGCTCCCCCTGCTTGTTTGTGCTCTCTCTCTCTCTCCCTCTGTCAAATGAATACGTAAAATCTTAAAAAAAAAAATCAAATTGCATCAAGTGACTTACTGTTTAAAATTTTCGATGGCTTCTCAATGCGTGTGAAATACTGTGTAGACTCCTTGCCCCCAAGACTCCTTTCCCTTCTGACCCCATTTGCTGCAGTTCTCTCTTTAGCTTACTAGAATCAGCTACTCTTTGCTCAGCTCCTCAAACTTATCAAACTTTCCCTGGTCTTTGAAATTGTTCTTCCCTCACTCAGCCTTTTCCAAGGGTTCTCTGCATTATTCATGATTGTTATCATTTTATTTTTTACTTTTTCTTGAGGTCTGTGAGGACCATGAGTCAGAGTCCCTGACTGTCTTGCCCACTCTTTTACCCCCAGCTGCCTCTGCACTATTCCTGGCAGATAATTTTTTAAACAATACCTTTTGAACACAGAAACTGTTGAATCAATGTAATGCAAAATCTAATTAGAAGTATTATATTGAGGAGGAAGGACATCTATTTCAATAAGACTGGAAAGAAGGAGGAAGAGCAGGTACTGGTCGGCAGGAGTTTATAGCTCTGGGGGAGGAAGTTACCTGAAGACTTGGTTTCCTTTCTGAATGAGGAGGACAAGTCCCCTGCCTAGAATAAATGAGTGGGTGAAGGGGCATGGGGTTTGAAGGGAGACACTGAAAAAATTTTTAAAAGATTTTATTTATTTATTTATTTATTTATTTATTTGAGAGAGAGAGAGAGAGAGAGAGTGCAAGTGGAGGGAGGGAGAGGGACAAGCAGACTCTGCACAGAGCCCGAGGCGGTGCTCATTCTCACTACCCTGAGATCATGACCTGAGCCAAAAATCAAGAGGCAGTTGCTTAACCAACTGAACCATCCACATACCCCAGGAGCCACTGAAATTTGAATAACTAATTAAAGGAGTAGGAGAATTACAAAAGAAACTCTAGAAGAAATGGCAGGTGGTTCAGGTGGTGTTGGGGACCATAACCTTGGCATGACCTCTCTTAGCAGAGTGGAGAGTTTTCTGCAGCACTGCTCAGCAGTATAGGCTTTGGGGAGAAATCAGTTTCGCTGAACCATGTTTAAAGTTTGAAGGATAGGTGTAAAGAAAGTGAAAAGACATTTTAAAAAATTGAGAACAGTGGTGAAAGTGATTGCACTGATTAACAGAGACCTTAGATTGAGTAGAGAAAGAGGTGAAGCCAAACGGCTGCTAATATACTGACAAAATGGGAGGATTACAGGAATGCAAGTATCCATGTGTCTGAGGAGAGGGAGAGGCGGAGGGGAGAGGTGGGGCTGAGACATCTCTTTAGAATAAGGTACTTATAGGAGGATTTCTTCCAAGATCTTTTTCTACCAGATGATGTTTTAACTTCTTCAATACTGTGGTATCTTGAAGGACAAACAAGCCTAGAATATTTTATGGAATGTGTGATAATGAAGTGATTCATTTGGCAGCAGCAAAACAAAGCCACCACGGGGTCTATTAACAATTCATGCATCTTAACAATTTCCAGAGGCAATTTGATAAATGACTCAGGATAAATTCAGATCACCAGCAGCTTATACTCAGAATATTTTCCCCCTTGGGCTGAGGGAGCATTCTAGGAACGTATTTAATGAGGTGCTCTACTAATCAGCCATTCCCTGGGTATATGTCTCTATGAGTGCTGAAGCTAATTGCCAAATAAACGTGTTTTCTCAAATATTCCTTACCTCTGTACAGACCATTTTAAAAGGAATCACATATCTTTAGTTGTTAACCTCAATCAACAAATCTTTATTGATGAAATAAAGTGACTTTCGGTGCGACTTAGTGATAACATAGCAGGATGACTGGCAAAAGGACAAATGAGAACATAATTCTCAGTAGAATCTTAGCAGAAGGGTGAAAATCTGATGTCAGTAGTAAGAGTATCAAATATGTGTGCGAAATACTTTACAAATCTTGTCATTTATATTTAGTTTATTTGATTCTCACAACAATCCTTGGAGGTTTTATTAGCCCCTATTTTACAGGTGAGAAAACTGCTTTACAGATTTTCAATGATTTATCTAAGGTGACTGGCAAGTTATTTTCCCCCGATACACTTCACTTCCTGAATTGTCCAGTAGTACGTCAGGTGCACAGCTTAGCGCTCCACGTGTCCCGGGTAGGATCCCTTCTAGGCTGAGTTCAGTTAGCTGCTCCAGGAACCGGAGAGGCGTGCGGAAAGCCATTTCTACCATGGCTCCACTAGGTGGCAGTGAAGGCCACCCCACTCGAATGTGTCACTCAAGACATCTGGCTTTAAAGTGGTCAAAGCCAGAAAGAGAAAGCAAAACGATGCTCTTCTTCTAGACTCAGAAAAGACCGCATATGCATGTGTATGCATGCACGCGTGTGTGTGTGTGCGCGCCCATGTGTTTGCTAGGCAGAGGAACTGACAAGTGAATAGAAACTGTTATTGCACTCTATGCAGTTTCTCATACTGCTAGAGGGTAGGACCAGAATGAAAGAAAGACCTTGATATTCGGCACTTTGATACTATAATGTGTTCTCTTAGCCCATATCTGCAAGGATGGATCCTGGATATCCACTCAGGTATTACATGATGTCCAAGAGAGTCATTGTCATTCGGCATAAAAGTGAATGTTCTCTCAAGAGGAAGAATTCATGACTTTGGTGCATTGTCTGTGGCTGTGCCTACGCTTTTGTCTTTCTCCTCGAGTGTATTACGATCTATTGTTGTGTTATAGCTGGCAGAAAGAAAAACCACTTGCAGTATCCTATGGGCAAAGGAGCTCAATAGCAAAAGGAATTCAAGATACTTTTGATGCTTTCTTGGGTCAGTAATAATCAGCATTGCTAGAGGTTAGTTGCAAATTTTGGCCACTGGAGAAAGAATTGGAGTGCCCAATTACAGCAATTCCATCTTAGAAAATAGATGTGGCTGGAAATGAAGAGTTGGAAGCCATCCTTTCCACTGAATAATGTTTACTTGTCATCCTAAATCTTCCGGAAGTTAGGGGAAAAACGTTTCATTTGTCTGTCTGTAGCAACTCTGGGGAAACCCCCACCCCATTTATAAAACCAGAGTTCCCATCAGTTTGAAGAGTGTTCTACTCGAGGAGACTCATCCACTGGGGGCACCTGCTTCTCTTCTGGCACTGGGGGTAGATCGGGTGCTTTCTGTCCACACCTTGCAACGGTGAAGCGACTCATGTGAAGAGCTTCTTCATACCCTGGGAGGGTGTCCAAAGAGGAGGGCAACTGGCCGAGGGGGCTGTGGGAGTGAGCCACAGCCAGGATTCTTCGAGCTGCAGGGCCAAATATTGACTGCAGGGCTAGGGAGGAAAGAAGGAATAGAATTAAAGTAAATGTGACATCTTCAGAAATCAGGGACTTACAACACACTTAATTTCCCTTCATTTTTAGCAAGTGTCTAAACCATTGTCACTCTCAGCCACAAAATGTTATGAAAATGCTGTGAACCTTGTTTGGAAACCAACTTCACTCTGCTGGAAGATCCTGTCTTCCCTGGGGTCCTCAACTAATCTAAATTGTGTCCCCATATCTGACAACCTTGTCCTTTTACGGACTTGGGGCCCTTTACACCAACCCATTGATAATGCGGACTTCTTAGAAATATTTACTTCTGTCTCATTTATCTTTTTTCAAAGGGCAGTAAGTGAAACAGGAGAGGTGAACAGCAACGCAGCCTCTCTTCAAAAGAAATTTCACAATGTTGTGCCACCTGCTGTTCTGACTAGTCTTTCTTCTCCCATTTCAGGAAAGAATATAATATGAAGAAGAGAAGAGAAGGACATAAAGGAAAGTGTTTTATAATCATCAAGGTGATGTTAGGCTAACATACAAGTGTATCAGTAGATACACTACAAAACAAAGAATTGCAAGTGCACATGACTAATTTCTTCAAAGATGTAAAATAATATATAGGTAATAAAAAATACAGGTTCTAACAAAACCCAAGACATTTTTGAAAAAGGGGTACACTCAGAGCTTAAAATAGTTTTATCAAAATAACTTTATAAACTGGGTAATTCTTCCTATAAGACATTTCCAATATTTTCTCCAACATTCTACTTCTTTCTTCACTCTATCGTCAGACCAGTATTTGAGAACACGGAATCAGTGAGAGCCCAGGTCACCACACCATCAGGTTTCTGGAAATTAAAACAACCCTGAGCTCTAGAATCTTTAATACTATTCAAACCATGTTTCTATATTGTTTCATCATCCTGATCATTCTTTTACTTGTCTTTTTTTTTTTTTAGTAGTTTCCTCAACGTGGAGCCCAATGAGGGGCTTGAACTCACAACCCTGAGATCAAGACCTGAGCTGAGATCAAGAGTCTGACACTTAATTGACTGAATCACCCAAGTGCCCCCAATCATCCTTTTTTCCCCTTAATTTTATTTATTTATTTGACAGAAAGAGACACAGCGAGAGAGGGAACACAAGCAGGGAGAGTGGGAGAGGGAGAAGCAGGCTTCCCGCGGAGCAGGGAGCCTGAGGAGGGGCTCAATCCCAGGATTCCAGGGTCATGACCTGAGTGGAAGGCAGACAGTTAACTGATTGAGCCACCCATGTGCCTCCCTGATCATCCTTTTAAACCCCCTTTCAGGTTATAATGTCAGAGTACTCACAAGTGATAGTGCTCTGGAGAGTGCTATCATGATCAAAAGCTATGACTGTCACTTCATAGGGAGGCCGGCCCTCATCTTCCCCATTTTGCTGGCGACTCAGACAGCAGCGGAAGCACGCAGACGTCAGGCCGCATAGAAGAAGCAGTGCACCAATTACCACCAGTAACCTGCAAGAAGAGCACCCCCCAGTGAGAGCTCTGTCATCTGGTGTTTCCCAGCCCTGGCGGTAACTGGTCTTCAGCGTCTACATTTTTACTTTGACTATTTTGCACAATAATCATGATTTTAATTTCAACACTTTCACTTCACATGCATACTTATTTTGTCGGCAAAACTAAATCAGTTCATTAAAACAATAAAAGATCTAATGTGGTTTGGAGGGTCTGCTTTCTACTTTATATTCTCCTCTCTGTAGAAATTTCTAGAGGTGACTGACAAAATACACAGTAACATTTTGATGGCTGAGGAGATGGTATTGAAATAGGAAATCCTGACATATTGTCACATAGTTAATGATGAGGTAAAGAAACTTTACTCCATGAGATGCTAGGTAAGTAGGCTGGCTGTCTCATACGTTTTTTTCCTACTGTATTTAAAAACTAAATATTTAAATATATTTAAAAACTAAAAAAAATAAAAATGAATGCCCTTGAGAAAAATAAAGTTCCTTTGAAATGTCTTTCTGGGTATGATAGCTGAAACTTACCATATGTACCAGAGATGCACCCAATCTGTGGTCAGGCAACTATGGAGAAAGAATAAAGATTTTTTGCAATAAAAACATAGTCGGCGCCTGTTGTAGTTCCAGAATCAGGAATATGAGTTACAATATAATTTGCTACCTTGTTATAACAAAAGCCTCACAACTTACATATATTTTTTTAAGTTTGCATTTTAATTCCAGTTAGTTAACATATAACAAGTTATTTTAACTTCAATATAGCCAGCAGAATCTATTGCAAAATGGGATGCCTTAAAGTGTTTAGTACTACAGATGGCATTGGGTAAATAATTTGGTAAATCATTATAAGACAGACTAGTGATTATGAAAATGGTGTTAATAGAAAATATAACCATGACCACAGTAAACAGTTATGATGACAATTACCAAGAAAGAATTTGGAATGTAAGTTTACAAAGTTTGAAAATGGGCAGGAAAGTTAAGGTTTGTATATATATATATATATATATATATTTGAGTTCAATAAAATTTAAACATAAAGAAAATTTCAGTTATAAGCATGAAAGCAATACAATGAAGTTTGTAACTTATGTTTTGCAAATTGTTGCAAAAAGGGTCACCGTTAAATCATAAAAATTTTCACCATGAAAAAAACCCCTGAACTTTCACATCCAATGTCAGAACTAATATATACACCCACTGAAGCCAAACAGGAAGGAGGAAAAATGTAGAAACCAACTTCACCATGTTGAAAGTTAATTAAAGTAACTGAATTTTCTCTATAGAGATGACAAAAATATGGATTGCAAGGAAGAAGGAGTGTGGGGTAAGCTCAGGAGTGGGAAAGGGAGAGGAAGGAAATATTTATGTTTGAAGATGAACGAATTTAATAATACTTTCTGATATATTGAGCTATTGAAACCTACTGAAATTTTCTTCTACATCCTCTCTTTGGTTGCACAGTTGTAGAATATACAATTTGCTTTTTCAACAAACAATGTCTCCTGTAGGTTTCTCACATTCTCCATTTATTTAAAGCCTCTTCTAGTTCTATAGTGTTAGTGATTCTGATTCTGTTAAAAGTGATTCTTCCTGAGTAGTAGGTGTCTAAAACCTCAGACAGTGTGACAAGCAACCAAGGCTGCCACCATTTGCCTTGGGTTTAACAGTCTTGGCTACTGGAAAAACCCTTCCCATGGCTAAATATGTGTTTTCCTTCAGGCTAAGCAAGTGTTTTGTTCCAACTGGCCCTGCTTTCTTAATAATTTACCTCCAAGTGGAATGAATCTCTTCCCCTTTTATGTCCTCTGCGTCTGTGTAAGACCTAATTGTGATAGGTTTAGATTAAGGGATAACAACCTCAAAGTGATAGCTGAATGAAGTCTGCAGTAAGTATTGACATGCCCTAAAATACAGAAAATGCTCGTCATATTTCAGATGGTGATGCTACTTTGGAATTACCCAAACATATCTGCCTGGGATGAGATTTTAAATCTAGTCTGTCCTGATGAGTCACTGAGAAGCATGGAAAAGGAAGACTTTTGCAAATTTCTGTGACTATATAAATTGAGATTAATTCCGTTGTTTTAATGGGAAGATAAGTCTTGGAAAAAATGCTTTCAGGATGTTATTTTAAGTACTTAGGATGACACGAGGGCATGTCTTTATTTTTGCATGACCCATCTGTGAGATTAGTGGGTTGATGTCCATTTAAGTAAAGATAAAGGGAAGTCACAGATATTTAATGACCTCCTGACCCTGTTTTGGGTACTGTTTTTGTCTGTTTCTTCTTCTTCCCAGTTTGGTGTCAGATACTTACTGTTCAGGATTCACGCAGTTCTCCTCACATCTTGCCAGGGGAAGCTGTAGGAAGGGAAATAGTCTCAGACAGGGAAATGTCTCATCTGCTCTGCTCAGCAGCCTACCAACCATTCCTCATAACTCTGCTCTGTTAGTTTACTTGGTGAGAGCCCAGACAATATGAGGACAAGGTCATAGGGTCAGCCATGTTTAGGACTGTTTGTTTTCATTGCTCCCATGCCTGTTGATTATTATATTTGAAGTGGGAGACACTAGAAGAGCAAATATCTAATCTGTGGGGGTTTTTTGTTTGTTTTGTTTTGGGTTTTTTTTTTTTTTGGTGGTGGGTAAGCATTACAACTTTTGTGAGTGGGAGGCAGAAGCAGCATTTAAATCAATTTGTCCTAGAAATGTCCTGATCTGTCCCTCAGGATATTGTTATCGCCATCTTAATTCTTTCCCAGCAACAAATTGAATTCTACCCCACTCCTTTTTTTTTATTCCCTTAGCTCATCAATAACACACCATACAAAAAAGGAGAAAAAGGAGGGGAACAATTTTATTTATTTAATAGCTACTATATGCCAGTCAGGCTGCTAAGAATTTTCAGTTTGTCATAACATTTCATCACAAAACTCATGTAGGTGGGTATATTTAGCCTTATTTTGAAAGGTTACATGATGGAGGCAAAGGGGTTTAAGTTAACATGGCCAACTGTGTGCTCCTATTGACGTAGCCAGAATTCAAATCAAACTCTATAATATATATGACTAAAGGTAAGAGAAGCTTAAACCACTAAACAGATAAAATACTTCTTTTTGTGACTATTGCCAAAAAAGAAAAGAAAAAAGAAGGAAAAGTGAAGGGCAAGGAAAGAACAGGAAGCAAAAGGAAAATACAGGAAGAAGAAATGGATTTACAGACAATAATTTAACTGGGATATAGAAAGCAAAACAAGCAGTCCATTCTCTACTAAGACATGTACAGGAAAGTGATACTAGCCAGTTGCTTCTTTTTCCTCTTTTTTTTTTCTTTATTTTAAAGTAGGCTCCACACCCAGCGTGGAACTCAACACGCTGGGCTTGAAATCACAACGCTGAGATCATGACCTGAGCTGAGATCAAGAGTTGGACACTTAACTGACTGAGCCACCCAGGTGCCCCTGCTTTTCCTCTTTACTAGTGTTCATAGCTGTGTAAATTTCCCCTTGACAGTTGTCCAGAATCCTCAATCTAATGACCCTTTTCTCAGCTAACAAGTTACTCAGGGGCTTCTGATTTTTGGTAGGGAGAAATAAAAGGTTGGAAGTATTTTTCAAGAACTTTCCCTCTTTTAACTTATTTCTGATCTGGAGGCATCTAAGCTGCTAGAATTGTATCAGGGCTGATGTGGAAACTCCGTTTAGGGGAATTATGTAATTCGTTTTGATAATTTATTTGGGATTTTGAGGGATGAGTGCTAGGATGCTAAAAGAGAGAAATATGGATAAGTGGCACTTCTAAATTACCACAGCTATCCTTCATGTGTCTATGGTTACCCTAATTTCTGTCCCCCCATTTCACTGATGCCATCAGCCACACATGGGCCATGTAACCCTATAACACTAAGGAAACATTCTAGTTATTCTTTACCCCACTACCTCTTCGGTTCAATACATGTCTTTCACCTCAATCATTTCCCCCAAGGTTATTCTGAGAGTTGGTTTATCTGAGAAACAACCAAACAAACAAAAGTTTTATTTTTGCATTTTCGCAACTCACCTGGATGCAATATACCAGGGCAGAGACTGTCACGGCCTGGGTTTGTACTCCCATGGGGCTGAACTGCTTCTCCAGGATCAGGTACGGAGTGTCCGTGTCTGTTGCCTCCTTTCCATGCTCTGTGTTGGTCTGACTTCTTGACCTGGAGGACTTAAGGAGACAAATTTTTCTCAGCAATGAAACTTTCGCTCTCTCTTTCCTCTTACTCCTTTGGGCTTTTATTTTCTGTGGTCTTTCTCTCCCCTTTCATCCTGGCTTCTTTCTCTGTCAATTCTGTTGTTACAGTCTCCACATTTGCTTCCTTTGGCCTTCCTTCCTTTCCTTCTACTAGCAATCTTTCTATATGTCTTTAACTTTCTCCCTCTGCCCCCAAAAGGAAAACATTCAGGGAGGACACATTCAGTCCTCAGATTTAGGTGTTTTTCTAGGCAGTGGTGAGAAACTTGACTTGAGGAGGCTCAACGGTGAATTGCTGGTGACCAAACAAGTTCTCTCATCTCCATCAAAAAAGGAGTAATACTCTTGGTCCTTTACTGCAGCACTTCAGGGGGACCGTTGAATAACAGCCAATCACCATCCACTCCCCTCTCCACATGATTAGCCCTCCTCTCTTGCTCTTTGAAACCCTCCCCTTCGCTATGTTGATAATCAACTCTCCTGGTTCTGGATCATTTATTCGTAACCATTGCAGTAGGACTGAGAGGTTAACAAATGGACCGGAAAGCACTCCCATCTTTGAGGAAAGCAGGTCCCCTCTACCTTGACTTCAGTTCTTTTTGAAACACACAAGTCAGATAGGCACACATCACATTTTTTTAAACTGGGTTCCAAAAAATAAAGAATAAACTGGGTTCCAAGATCTATGAGTCTCCAGGTTTCTCTCTCTCTCTTTTAAATAAAATCTAAGGTCAGCGTAAAAATAAGCACATGTGGAAAGAGAATATTCATAAAGAAACATCTCTACAGGAACGAGTGAATGTTGTATAAATGATTTATTCTTAAGTCAGTAATTTTTTACTTAATACAAAGTATTTCCAATTTTTTTTAAAATACAAAGTATTTCATAGGAAAATTAGACATCAGTTGATGCAGATTTATCTATCTCATACGAATTGAATAAAACCACCTTTCAGATCATAACTAATGCTGAAAGTCTAATTTTACTTTTACTGAGTGATTGTTGAGGGCAACTGTTGGGTGGGATTGATTCAAAGAGTCCTCACACAGCTTTAAAATATGATATCAGCATGGAGAATATAATCTTTTTTTCCTCTTAGCTAAGGGAATCAAATAGTGACAGAAAAGCCTAATATGATACTGGTGATTACACATCATTAAGTTCCAAAACTAAATGAGCACTACATTATTTTTTTAGAATGTAAGGAAGATAGAGATAGGATGAAGAGTATTTTTCAAGTTTCAGCAGAAAAATTGACAAGGTGGGAGGTATTTCATAGGACAAGGAGAGCAGAAAAATCCTGGCCCTCCACTAAATTATTTGTGGTTTCTCCAAGCCTGAATTTTCCCATTTATAAAACAGAGGAGGAATGCTCACTTGACCTGCCCTAGATGTTGTTTCATAGAAAAAATACCATTGGAGATACGAAGGCATTTTGATTAGAATATTTCTACTTAGAGTGGCCTGTATATGGTAGCATCACTAATCTTTCCCTGCCCTTTCTCTTGTCAGAGACACAGTAGAGCATCGTGGCTAAGAACCCAGCTAGCTTATCTGGGATTAAATACTTGTTTTGTCACTTATTTTTATTTATTTATTTATTTTTGCTTTGTCACCTATTAGCTGTACAATCTTGGGAAAGTTATTATATCTCTGTTGGGTCAGTTTCATTCTCTCAGAATGGTAATAATAATAATGTTACTTCATAAACTTATAGAGATTAAGCAAGTTAATGTATGTGAAATGCACATAATTGTCCTGATGTAACAAGTATTTTATAAGCATTAACTAGGATTATCTTGATTTCCATTCAGTTTTGCCAATGACCTTCACCTTCAATATGCTGAATAACTGATGTCCTCTTGGTGTATTATTACCATGACCATGTTTTAGCTTTCCTGGTATTCCAATTCTTGAATATTTCCTCTTGCTGTTCTGGCCATCTCTTCTCCCAATCATACCAGCCAAACCTGCATGAACAGGTTTGTCAATTAACATGATTTTTCCCCATCACACTTTCCTGCATGTGATTGCCATCATCTTTTTGCCCTCCAGCTTTCTAACAGGTTTGAACAAAATGGGATTCTGTTAATGACGTCCTCGTTACTTTTCTTTCTTAGAATTACTACTGCCTTTTTTGTTTGTTTGTTTTGTTCTCACTGGATTATTCCTTGAAGAAGTAGAACTTCTTGTTTATCCTAATGAAAGTGATTATGCCTTGTGGCAATTTTAGTGCTGAGTTCAGTCCCTGTCAAAGCCTCCATATCAGGAACAATGACAGAGGAAAGAAGATCCCTGTAGGAAGACTGAAGAGGGTACACACTGGAAGGGCAGGTAACTGAGGTAGAGGGGAATGACCTCATTTCAATCCTACACAATCTTGTTGTACTTCCATTAAGTTTGTGAATCATTAGCTTATACCCAGGTTGTTAAGGACTTGGAGTGGAACCAATGGAGGGTGCATGTACATAGGCCTTTTCACCTATGCCTCAGGAAATTGTTATACAAAACCTGTAACAAGTGAAGCTAAAAAAATTACTTATTTCTGGCCCCTTTGATTATTCTCCTTTTGACCTTGTCTACATCAGGTGACCAACCAAGAATTCCCTTCCTTTCTGTGCCTCAGTGAAACAGATGCCAGGACAACCCTTACTGTGAGTCATCAAGCATGAGTTATAAAGTGTTGAGCAATGAGTTAGGCCATACCCATGGCTTCAAAAATAGATAATAAAGCGGAAGAGATTAGTTCCATCTTGCAAATTCTCCACTAGGAAGTCCCTCTGTCTTATGAATCAAGATTGCAGTGTAAGCATTGAGTGACAACCTCAGAGGTATTGACAATCAGGATTAGATTTAAGGAAATTTAACAAAACAGAAGGATTAAGTTTATCACAGGATTATTAGTTTTATATGCCATCTAACACATTACCACAAATTATATGAGTAACAATGTAAAACAACACACTTTTTTTTTATCTCACAGTGTCTGTGGATCAGAAGTATAAAAACAGTTTAGTTAGGTCCTCTGTTTAGGGTCTCACGGGCTGCAGTCAAGATAGCTGTTGGGCTGTGCTCTCATTAGAAGGCTTGACTGGGGAAGGATATACTTCCAAGCTATGTCAGGCAGGAATTCATTTCTTTGTGGCTATATGTGTATGCTTGTTTCTTTAAATCTGGCCAGAGAGGCAGAAAGGAGGGAGAGAACCTTTAGCAAGATAGGCACTATACCTTACATAATCACAAAAAAGGATCATATATGTTCCATCACCTTTGCCACATTCCAAGCCACAGACACCAACCCACACTCAAGCAGAGAAGATTACACAAGGGCATGAACATCAGGAGGCAGGGATAATGAGAACCACTTAGTCTGTGAAACTTGTCCAGCTATCTGCTACATCAGGATTATAGAAATTATCCCATGGATCTTTAAAAACAGAAGAAATACAAATGTCCATCAATGGATGAATGGATAAACAAAATGTGGTATATACACACCATGGAATATTATTTAGCCTTAAAATTAAAGAGAATTCCGATACATGCTACAGCATGGATAAACCTTGAAGACACCATGTTAAGTGAAATAAGCCAGATACAAAAGGACAAGTATTGTATGTTTCCACTTATATGAGATACCTAGAGTAGTCAAATTCATAGAAACATAAAATAGAATGGTGGTTTCCAGGAACTGGGAGAAAGAAAGAATGGAGAGCTATAATAGTCAGCGTCCTCCAGAAAAACAGAACCAATAGGATGTGCATATTTATACAGAAAGATTTATTATAAGGAACTGACTCATGCAATTATAGACTGGCAAGTCCAAATCTGTAATGTGGACCAGCTGGCTCGAGTCCCAAGAGAACCAATGATGAAGTTCCAGCCCACAGGCTGTCTGCTGGAGAATATTTTCTTATTTGAAGCAAGATTAGTGTCTTTGTTCTAGGCCTTCAACTGATTAAATGAGGCCCACTCTCATTATGGATGGAAAACGTTACCCTACTGATTAAAATGTTAATATCATCCAAAAACATTCTCAGAGAAACTCAGAAAAATATTTGACCAAATATCTGGGCACCCCATGGCCCAGACAAGTTGACACATAAAACTAAGCATCACAGGAATTATAGTTTAATGAGTACAGAGTTTTTAATTGGATAAGAATAGTGAGCTGAGTTCTTATCTGACATCAGATAGAAAAGAGATGTTCAGTAAATCACTTACATTTTTTGGGCTTTAGCTCCACATTCTCAAAATAAAGAACTAAGACATATTTTCCTTAAATTTCTTTGTATTTTAAAACCCAGCTTATTCTGGTGATGTCTTAATAGCTAAGAATCTCAAGTGTTAACTGTTTACTATTTAGAGATATTAAAGAATATTACAATTGATATGGTATGCCAGGGTGACAGGAAAGAATTAGTTTTTATTAATAGAAGGGGATCTATCTTTACTTCTAAAGAGCTTGTAATTTGGTTGGAGAGATGGAATAATTTTAATGGAATTGAAAATCAATAGAGTGCACTATTAGAGTGTATAAAATGAGGGAGTAAAAAGTATTGGCAATCCTACCTATAGATGTTGAGTACAGAGGATTTTTTAAAGAAAAAAACAGAATTGTATTTGTAGGGAATACAGGATTTGTAGAGCTCATCACCAGGTCCTGGACTGTTTACTGAGTATCTTATGAGTGTGGACCCAAAAGAACAATGGATGATTATGCTCTCCTGGGTTTCATGGGTGGGGTATGAAGGTGAATAACTGAAGTCTGAGAGATCTAGCTCAATCTTAGACCTTCTCTAAAGAATGTAGTTCTTTCTAGTGCTGTGTGTATCCTTGGGCGTTTTAGCTATAGAGTCACATGCGTCCTTCCAAGACAATCCTTCATAGGACAATCCATAAAAGGTTACTAGTAAGTGATGAGCTCACAAGAAAAAAATGTTTCATGTCAACAAGTGTGCTTCTGTATCACTTCTGTATCACTAGAATATTGATGGCATACAAAATAATTGAGTCACTGTGGAGAATGATAAAATGTCTTCATTGTGACATGATTTCAGTATTTATTAATTCATCATTAAAAACACTTTCCTGGGATGCCTGGGTGGCTCAGTTGGTTAAGCGTCTGCCTTCAGCTCAGGTCATGATCCCAGGGTCCTGGGATCAAGTCCCACGTTGGGCTCCTTGCTCAGCCGAGAGCCTGTTTCTCCCTCTGCCTGTCTCTCCCCGTGCTTTTACTCACTCTTCTCTCTCTCTCTCTCTGACAAATAAATAAATAAAATCCTTAAAAATAAATAAAAATAAAAACACTTTCCTGAGATTCTATTTATGTGAAAGTCAGCATGGTGAATGCAGGAAGTGATCTTGCTTCCTGGCACTCAGAGTCAAGGGAAGTGGGGTGGGGCTTCAGTGATAAAGGTAAGTAGCATTGATTTGTTACAAGCTGGTTTGACTAGGATATATTACAGGCTGAGCTTTTTTTGTGAACTGCATCATAGAGTAAAACTACATTTAATTTTTTAAAATTCCTTCTTTCTTTCTTTCTTTCTTTTTTTCTTTCTTTCTTTCTTTCTTCTTTCTTTTTAGAGACAGAGAGCAAGCTAGCAGAGGGGCAGAGGGAGAAGGAGAGAGAATCTTTAAGCTGGCTCCACACTTAGGGCAGAGCCTGACACGGGGCTCGGTCTCATGACCCTGAGATTATTACCCTGAGATAATGGACCTGAACTGAAATCAATAGTCTGATGCTTAATAGGCTGAGCCACCCAGGTGCCCCGTAGAGTAAAACTTTAAATGACAGGTGAACTATTTTCAATTTGGTCTCAGATATACTGTGCAGGAAAAGGGAATACAAGTAATCCAGGAAGGAGGAAGGAAATGGAATCCTAAGTAGACTGTCAATATCAGTGGTTTTTCTTAATAGTTTCCTAGATATTTTATTTGTATGTATATTTTTTCCAATGTTCTTTAATGTATCCCCTCCTTTTATTTTTTTCCTCACGTAGTTTAAAGCAAATTCCAGATATTGTATCATTTTGCCCATGAATACTTCAGAAAATATCTCTAATACATAATATTTTTTTTTTAAAAAAAAGCGTGTATAACTGCAGTGAGATATTTCTTCTCTGGTTAGGAGGTTGTAGAGGGAAAAAAGGTGAGAATTCTATCAACGAATTCATATAAGCATCCTTATGGGGAGCTCATTGAAGTCTTTGAGACTCCAGTCATTTATGTGTAAAATGTATCCTTTGATGGGCAATTCAATTGTGCTGAATATTACTACTACTAATATTAATAACTATCATTTCTTGAGTTCTCATGTTTGAAGTAGAATACTTAGCATTTTGAAACAATATTTCATATGAATCCAGATAGCAACATTACCAACATTATCCAGTGGACATTGCAATGTCTCAATTTATAGACAAAGACATAAGTTCAGAGTATTAAGTAATTCCCCAAGATTATAGACTAAGGTACGAGCAAAGGAAAGATTTGAAACGAGCTCCATCTGGCTCCAAATTTCTGCTGCTATGTTATACTGCCACTGTATGAAATAGCACTCCTAATTAAGTTCTTAATTACCCAGGTCACCATGGCTGGAGATGAGTCACACGTGATTAACTCCAAAATTTCTAATCTTCTGCGTATTTAAACAGTCAAAATTAAAAAGGAAAATGTGAGACTTATGAAAGCCACAGTATAGAGATAGTCTGCTACAGTGAAGTAAACAAATATGGACACTGGAATCAAGTAATCTGGTTTAAATGCACAGTCTTCTACAAATTTAGTGTGAGTTACTCTTTTGAGTTTCAGTTTCCTTATCTGAAGAATGAATACAAATGCCTGTCCTCTAATGCTCACAGAAAATACAGTTTTCCCTTTCATAAATTACCTACTGAAACATCCTGAAATACTAGCAGAATCACCACTTTCCCCACCTGCAATAGACATAACCCAAGAATTTGCATCAGCCAACTTCCCAGTATGAAGCAAAAGCCTCCTCTTCCTCCTACCAATGATTGAGTCATTCTTCTATTAAATAGCAGTAGCTATTTAAACACTCCAGCAGGAGCTCACAAATTTTTACTTTGCAGAAGTCCTTGACTGCTTCACTCTCTTCATTCTTGGAATGAATTTGGAAATGACTTTTGATGACTTCAAGAGCAAGACTATGAAGGATCAACCTGATCAGAAGCCAAATAGAAAGAAAGCTAAAGGTATTAGGGGTGGGTGAATGTGCACAGCAACAGAATTCTAGGATTAGCCCAAAAATGTAAATTAATTGAATATAAGATTAGAAAGCTGAAACACTCGAGGATGGAAAAATATTGTAGAATTAATAACATTTACTTAAAAGAAAAACAATTCAGATATAATGGTGAAGATGATGATGATGATGCTGTGAATGAACTAACTTGATATGAATTATGATGTATAGATTTTGATAACTTTTATTAAACATTATCATATGATATGTTCTATCCTATTCACTTTACCTGTGTTATTTCTCTGAATCAGCATTCATAGGTAGACATCCAAGTTAACAGTAGTCACTTGTTCATTCATTCATTCATTCATTCATTCTTCATGTTGTAAATATTGAGTACCTGAATTTTACTACAATTATGAAGCTAAATCTCTCAGATCAGTCACCTACTGGAAAGAATCCAATTGCTTTCTGATCAGAAAATCACTAATGGGAATAGAGGTGGGATTAATGGTCTCTACCTACCCACGAAATGGGACAAAGGGTGTCCTGTAGAAAATGGGAGCTTGTGCCTTCCCTGAACAGGTGTTGAGCCTATGATTTTCTTCTAAAAATTCAGGAGTTTCTTCACTCAAGAGTGGTCGACATACACTCATAGTATAGAATGAATACTGATCAGAGGGAAATATTGGTTGATTTACACAGATATCTACCCCCAAGCTAGAATCCTAAGCAATTATTTGCAAGAGATACAACTATCTTCTGCTTCTCTGCCAACTTGCCACATACACTCCAGGAGCTTAATGACTTTCGAATCAGTGAATGAACTGTATTTCTTCCTGTTAAGATTTCTATTTTGTCTGTCTCATCTCTAGAGTCTAACAGAAGTGCTTTTGACTCTGTGAATATATTTGACCATTGATTGATTTGGATCATTACACATTTGCACTAGAAATTTTGGGATGTAATGTTCCAAGCCATGTAGCAACTGACAGTTGGATTAAAGACCTATGTTTGGATCTTAACATCTGTGTGATCTCATACAATTCACTGAGACTTTGGGTTTCCTTATCTGCATATAGATGATAACACTACCAGTACCCTATTTGTGTATTGCACAGGGTGAGGAGTTCACATAGATGATATGAGATATTTTCCCATTGAACCAAAATATCTATGCTTTTGCAGTGGTGGAGCTGTGAGCTACATGACTTATTTGTTTCTATAATAATGGTGAACTTTTATAACAACAAGGGCCACAGCTGGTGTAAGTATAGGACATGACGTTAATATGAGTCAAATGAATATTGAAGTTTAATTCCTATTTTTCTTCAGTCAATAACCTTACTTCCAATGGTAATTTTAGTGGAATAAAAATTGAAAGCACAAAATTATAATTATTTGAGGCGATCTGTTGATTAACTAAATAAAACTTATTTGCTTGGTGTCTGACATTCTTTTATGGTACACTACTTATAAAATACACTGTGTATGAGGTGCGTGCATGCATGTGTGTGTGTGTGTGCATACACATGGTCTATATTAAAAGTATCAGGATGTCTGTTCTGTGGACGAAACTGATCCAACCAAGCTAGACTGAGAGTTTCTTAGAGAGTCATTATGGGGAGAGTAGATAAAGTATAAGCTTTAGAATCAGATACTTAACATCACAGTATCTGATATTGAGTCCTGGCTCTTAAATTGTGTCAGTTGTGTGACCAAGAGTAAATTACTTAAATTCTCTGTCTGTATTTTTCATCTGTAAATATGGACAATGAATTACTTGCAGCGCCCTTGGGAGGACTTCTAAGGTAAGAAATGCAAAGTACAAGTTACAGACAGTTTCCAAAGAATTGTTTGATAACTTGCTTCCATCTTTTATGTCTTTCTGATTCTATCCTCTGTCACTCTAGGTCCTCATTTTCTTTCTTCTCGGTGGTGGTGCCCTACTGCTGTGACCCTGGGGATCCTTTGCTTGGGATTACTGGTAACTCTTATAATGCTAACAATGCAATGTAAGTACTGGAACGGGGGGAAAAAGTGAGAACTTACAAACATGGTTTATTAATTGGTTTCATAACAAATATAAACAGCCTTGATTTAGATACAGTTTAGACAAACTTTTTGGAATAAGTGGGAACATGAAGAAGTACATTGTGCTTGTCCCTCAAATTGACTGGGACATGGAATTAAGATTATGAATGGTAGGTGTTTGTTTTGTTTTGTTGTTATAACTTCCTGGATAAAGTCTGTTTAAATCCTGGAATGATGAAAAAGAAAATAATTTGAAGCCACTAAGCCACAAGATCCCCTGAGACCCAAAAGGAAAAGAAACTTCATATAGTTCACATTGAGGTTGTTTTTTTGGTTTCTGTTTGTTTGTTTTTTTAGAGAGAGAGCACGAGTGGGGGGAGGAGTAGAGGGAGAGGGAAAGAGAGAATCTCAAGCAGACTCCATGTTTAGCACAGAGCCTGACGTAGGCCTCAGTCTGACGACCCTGAGATCATGACCTGAGCTGAAATCAAGAGTCATATACTTAACCTACTGAGCCATCCAGGCGCTCCTACATTGAGTTTTAATTGAGATGATGAAATACCAATTTAAAGTTAAGAATCAGAAACACTATCTCAATAAATGAAACATTTAAAATAACTGTAATTTAAATTTATAGAATGGCCACTCGGAAGAGAGGATGTTGAGAGGAAAAGAAGTGATAAGAAGGATGAGAGTGGGGCACCTGGGTGGCTCAGATGGTTAAGCGTCTGCCTTCGGCTCAGGTCATAATCCCAGGGTCCTGGGATCGAGTCCCGCATCGGGCTCCCTGCTCCTTGGGAGCCTGCTTCTCCCTCTGCCTCTCTCTGTCTCTCTCTCATGAATAAATAAATAAACTCTTAAAAAAAAAAAAAAAAAGAAGGATGAGAGTGGCCAAGAAGGAATGAAAATGGTATCAATCATCCATATAATCTGCCTGTGTATTTAGATTGTAGATCTGAGTTACTTTGTCCATCTAGAATCTAGATGATTAAGGCCTTGGAAGTGCTATTTGTTTCTCAATTGTTGGTTAAAGTCACCAACCATTTATTTTTTCAATCTGTTAACACTTAGGGCCTTCCCTAATGACTAGGATAAGTGCCCTTGACTCAGTGGTGGTGACTGGATGAGTCTTCCCATGAGAAGAATCATTTCACAACAGTCTCAAAGCCAGCCTTCAACCCAAGGGGTCTGTCTGTTTTGTACCGAACCATCCAGCTTCTAGAACTGAGACATTTGACCCTTAACATTAATTGCCTGCCAGATTTCACAAACTTTATTTCATCCCCACCCTTCCTAAAATGTACTGTGGCTAAAAAAAAAAGAACCCAAGAAACAAAAAATGCTTGAAATTGTTATGACATAGCACCTTACAATAATTGGGAGGGTGCCTCAAGAAAAGGGTGTCACAGTTTTTAAATAAAATTAGGAAGTCTGGAAGGGTAGAGAGTTAACAGTGGAATAAAGACACAAATAGAGTAAATCATTAATGACAACTATTAATAATCACTGAGTCTGGTTGGCATCTATTTCAGATTGTCCGTATTTTATTTATGCCATTGATATACCCTTTATCTTATGATTGCTTTTAAGCTTGTCTATAACTATCAATAACAAGCAAAATCCTGTTTGTTTTTTTTTTAATCAAAAGTGTCTGTGACAGTTCCTGACATTTAAAAAAAAATATTGCAGGAATATTAAATAACTTTTAAATCCATAATTTCTGAGTTATTTTCCAGCAGTTTATCTGTTGTCAAAATAGATAATTTGATTCGATTCTTTGATTTCCTCAAAATCCAGTGGAGGGATTTTTATTCAGGATTGGTAATGGAGTTCTTATTTCAGCTATGATTTAGTATCACAGGTTTCTGATCTTCTAAAGCAACAGCAAGCAAACCTTACTAACCAGGAAATTATACTGGAGGGACAGATCTTAGCACAGAAGCAGGCAGAAAGAGCTTCCCAGGAGTCAGAAAGGGAACTCAAAGAAACGATAGAAACCCTTAACCAGAAGATGGATGAAAATTCCAAAAAACAGATGGAACTTCATCATCAGAATCTGAATCTCCAAGAAGCTCTGAGGAAAGCAGCAAACTTTTCAGGTATGTGGGATGGAGAGGTGAAAAGTAGTGGAAAGTTCTCTGTTTAATCTAAACTCTGCTTTGAAAATGTCTCTAGGCACGAAATTGGCATATTAACATATATTCATAATGTTTGACACCAGAATTTCTCAATTTTTGTCAACCCACCCTTCCCTCTGCTAAATTCTTGAGATACCTGATTTAATTAAGCACAGTTTTTGGTGGATTTAAATTTTCTTTCCTCATAAGAACCTCTTCTTTATTTTTAAAATTTGGTTTTGAGATATTTCTGGAAGAATTCTCCCACCCTTACCCTTTGCCATGGATTCTTACTTCTTTCTGTTCCAATATATCTTTTCTTTTTTTAAAGGATTTTATTTATTTGAGAATAAGAGAGAACAGAGAGTACCAGTAGGGGGGAGGGGCAGAGGGAGTGGGTGAAGAAGGAAGCCTGATGCAGGGCTCCATCCCAGGACCCTGGGATCATGACCTGAGCCGAAGGCAGACGCTAACCGACTGAACCACCCAGGCGCCCCTGTACCAATGTATCTTAATCATTGATTTCTTTCCCTATGGTGTCTCCTTTGTCCCTGGGAAGCTCTACATTAATTTTATTCTATAACCCTATTTCTTAGAGTATACAACATCAATTTAAATTGAATGAATGGAGGTAAGCTGACTTGCAAGTGTTGGGTAGATACTTTAGGTAAGAGAAAAATATAAAGGGCCCAGGAAGTCAGTTTATATAAGAAGAATTGAGTTGATCTCAGAATCTAGGAGGCAGGTAGAAATAGCATCTCTGAGAAGGGGATGATGATGTGAACTCTGATGTTATTACGGAGTTATCTGTGTCATTTAGTCTTGGTACAACATGTAATTAAATCAGGCATATGCTTTTCATCATAGGGAGATTTAAGGGATATGAGATGGAATTACTCTCAGAGATGCATTGCTTTCTTGGCGGTGTATGAATGAGTGCCCTATTCTCAGCATTAGTAACTAACTGCTACTAATAAACAGAGATTTCTCCAGTTTCTTGCTTGTACATTCTCACTTGATCTCAACCATGCAACTTATTTGAATATGGATTATATAACAGTTCACAAATACCCACAGATCTTTATTTTATAGATGAAAAAAATTGATAGCCAGAGAAGTTAAGTGATGATAAAATGATAAGCAGTTTTTTAAATAAAGTTTTGAAGTTAATAAATCCCTTCAATATTTACAGGGTTATTTAAATTTCCAAAAGAAGCAGAGCTTTTTGGACAAACTGATCTTTAGCAAGTATCAAACTTGTATTTAATGTCTTTATTAAGGAGGGAGCTATCGAGGAAATTAAAGAATACACTGTCTCTAAAAAGGTGTAAAGGAAGGAGACTAATCTATCAAAGATAGGAATGTTTATATAAGCAGACATAGCTGCATACCAACCAATGATTTAGTCCCCAGATGGGGCTGTAAAACAGTTTTGTTTTTTTTTTTATCAGTTGTATGAGATTAAATCTACATCAGGACCATCCAGAACTGTCTCCCAGAGATTCCAGGCATGGGCAACCAATCAAAAATATTAAGTAATATGTTTTTCACTGGTAGATATCCCAGGTAACATGTTCCATTCCTTGACAGTGTCGGATAAAGGCCAATTAATAGAGATAGCAAATAAAGTACTGCTTTTCATCAAGCAGCTTTGAGAAGATTCTCAAAAACATTAATAATAAAATACCACATGGAAAAAAAAATAGACCGGTTTCCTCAAGTTTGAGACAAGTTTTATCTTTCTTACTAACAAGTCTGTGGTACACAGTGTAGATATGAAGAGAGAGAGATTCTGAGAAGTTACCAAATGTGGTTTTCAGGAGGTCATCCAGCTAGAAAGGTGCAGGGTCTTCACAGTAACAGATTTTATATTTAGGACTGAAATTAGTGGTGGTTGTCAACCTTTGGTGTACAACATTATCACTACAGTAGTTTTTTAAAAATGGCAATTTCTAGGTTTATCCCGAGATTCTGTATCAAAATATCTTGAAGGGCGCCAAGAAGTTTCCTCAATTGATTCAAACGCGAAAGTTTGAGAGGTAGTGCATGTCATGATTAAACACATGGATGTGAGAGCGAGTCTGCCAAGGTTCACATTCCCATTTACTCTATCTGCCAAAGGAAGAAAATGAATGGAACTTATTTAATCATGTTGTTATGAGGATTAAATAAGTTAATATGTGTAAAGTACTGCCAACATAGTGATATTGTGTTTGTTAAAAAAAAAAAAAAATTAAAAGAGGACCCCAGGCGGGCTCAATCTGTAGAGCATGAGATTCTTGATCTTGGGGTCATGAGTTCAATGGGGGCTTGGGTGTAGAGTTTACTTAAAAAAGAATTTTTTTTTATTAAAAGAAACACAGGTAGTTTGAATACCACATATGGCTACGTATTGGACAACATATGTCCAGAAACAGGAAGCACAATATTTAAGCTTAAATTCATTATTTGAAAACCTGAAGTTTTAAAATATATAAATATGTCTTTTTTTAAAAGATTTTCTTTGTTTTTTTTTAGATTTATTTATTGATTGATGTTAGAGAGAGAAAGTGCACATACTAGTGAGAGGGAGAGAGAATCCTGAAGCAGACTCCTTGGTGAGCACAGAGCCCAAGGGGCTCTATCCCACCAGCCTGAGATCATGACCTGAGCCAAAATCAAGAGTTGGTCACTTAACCTACTGAGCCATCCAGGCACCCCAGATTTTATTTCTAAGTATTTTCCACACCCAGCGTGGGCCTCAAACCCACCCCGAGATTAAGAGTTGTGTGCTCCCCTGGGTGAGCCAGCCAGGCACCCCAAACTTATCTTCTTAATAGCAGTGTGGCTATTAACATATCCACTCCCCGAGCTCTTCCATTCTTCCAAACATAATTATAAAAAATAGGTCAGATTCTGAAGTTACATCTCAGCTCAAGTTTTGCTTTTGAACACACTTGTTTTTAATTTAGTTTACTAAAATCAGAATACTTTAAGAGAAAGACTATTGGTGTATTGAGGTCTTTGAAGACTCTGGATATAATTCTAATTAGGAAGAGATGATATGTATGTGACAGTCCTGAGGGGAGAATTGATTTAAGAACTGTAGAAATAGTTTTACTCAGGCATCACTCACTGATTAGATATGCTACACTTCCTAGGTCCTTGTCCCCAAGACTGGCTCTGGCATGAAGAAAACTGTTACCTATTTTCCTCTGGCCCATTTAATTGGGAAAAAAGCCAGGAGAACTGTTTGTCTTTGGATGCCCAGATGCTGAAAATTAATAGCACAGATGATCTGGTGAGTTTTTATGGTTGTACATTGCGCTGGAGTAGTGCCTTATAGGGAAATAAATCAGATTTATGCCCTTGGTGGAGGAGCTCGTGTCTGAGAATCAGAATACTTACTTTCTAGGCTCATCTGACCACTAATGATGTGCATGACCTTGGGTAGAGAGGTTACACGGTATCTCCCCGCTTTTATAAACATTTCTGTAAAACCATGGAAAGGATGTCGAAGATCTCTTTTGATTCTTTAGGTTTGTGAATCTAACTTAAACATTACTCCCCACAGGAATTCGTCCGGCAAACAAGTGCCCATTCCAATTTCCCATTCTGGACGGGGTTGTCTCTGAGGAAACCCAGCAGCGCATGGCTCTGGGAGGACGGCTCTCCTTTGAGGCCCCACTTGTAAGTTTCCTATTCTTTGCTGAAGGTGCTAGTGAAGTTACTTCCACATTCCACATAATGTCCTCTTCTTGTCAGGGAGAAGCTTGAGGAATTTCTGAACGTTCCTTCTCCACCTCTGTCAGACAGGGACTTGCCCATTTAGCCTTTCAGACCTTCTCTGGGGTTTTCCTTCCCACATTTATTACTGATTTGAAGCTTTAAGACAAGTTTAAGTTTCTGACACAAGGTGGCAGTAAATCTACCTTTTTTTTTTTTTCCCCCCTTCCCCATCTGCAGATTTAGACTCCAGGGTCCTGTTTCCCAGAACTATCCTTCAGGTAGTTGTGCATATATACAAAGGGGAGCTGTTTTTGCTGAAAACTGCATTTTAACTGCATTCAGTATATGTCAGAAGAAGGCGAATCTGCTGAGAGCACAGTGAATTCGAAAGCGCTTGGGAAGAAGAGAAGGAGAATTCTTTTCTGGAATTTAAGTTGTCCTTCATCACTTAGGTGTAAACCACGAGAGCCCTGCTTGTTATTAGCTGATGGCAGAACTCCCTAGCAGAGACTGGGCTTCCAGCTGCCTGGCACCTTGATATCAGAAATTTTGATTCTGTCTCTCTCTCTCTGTTTTTCACCTAACTTGTCCCAAGTCTTCCTGCCAGCCCTTCAATCCCCCTTCACTTTTTTTATTTTAAAGTCTTATTCCTTTTCAAGTCTTGGGAGCCCTCTGTACTCAGTCCTCTCTACCTCAGTACCATCTTCCCCTCACCCTCCTAAACCACATAGAAGATGGAACGTGGAGAACTTGCCCAACTGGTGGATGCATGGAAAAATGCATGCGAAACAGAAAAGAATGCATGAAGAAACAGAAAAAGGGAAAGGCCATGCTGGAATCCAGAAACTTGTGTTCTCAACGTTAAAAGCTACCACTTGTTGGTCTTTTAAATTGTGATCTTTCTCCAGATTCCACCACATACACACGCGCACACACAACATACACACCCCACATCATCACATTTTGGGGCAATTGGGATGTCCCAGGAAGTAATTACAAATTGAATGATCTTTTCAGTCAACTAATCACAATTCATTATTGGTTTTGGAATCTAATTATTTCTTCATCCTTTATCAATGGATAGCTTAATCACTTTAATCCTCAGATAGTATTTGTTAGAATCATGGGGCCTGAGGCAAAAATAGATTTTTTTTTTCCCTAAAGTACACATCATTTGTAAATGAGTTCTCAACTCTGTTGTGCTGTGCTAATATGGAAACACACAGGACGAAAATATGAAGATACTCAATTAAAGAACAAACTGAGCCAGGTATGGAAATATAACTGAATAGAAACAGATGGAATTAGAAGTATTCCTTCTATTTTCAGTATTTCTACTCCCTTGCTACCTCCTTCACAGGTTATTCTACTTTTTAAAGGAAGCCTTTCCATTTTGTTGCACATAATCTAGCACCAACTTTATAAAGAAAAAAGAAAAAGCTGTATCATTCCTAGGAAGACAAGAGAGATTTTCTTTTGTTAGCACATTTATTGATGTTTCATTGGCATATAACAAACTTAATATATTTGAAGTACACAAGAATTTTCATACATGTGAACATTTTCCATTGAAATCATCGCCACAATTAAGATAGCGAACATTTCCATCATCTCTCCAACTTTTATCATCCTCTCCCCAATGCCTTCTCCTCAGACAACCACCAAACTGCTTTCAGTTTGCATTTTGTAACATTTTATATGAATGGAGTCAAACAGTATGCCTTTTTCTTTATTTTTGGTCTAGCTTCTTTCACTTAGCTAATCATTTTGAGATTCATTCATCTTGTTGCTTGCATCAATTTTTCACTCTTTTAAAATGTTGAGTGTTATTCTCTTAATATACCCCAATTTGTTGATGAATTACCTGTTGATGACCATTTGGGTTGTTTTCAGTATTTGTCTATCGCAGATAAAGGTGCTCTAGATATTTGTGTACAAGTCTTTGTTTGTACATAGTATTTCTCTTCTCTTGGGTAAATGCTTAAGAGTTTAATGTCAGGATCACTCAGTAGGTGTATTTGAGAAATTGCCCAACTATTTACCGAAGTTGTACCATTTGATATTCCTACCAGCAATGTATGAATGTCCCAATTCCACCCATCCTTGCTAACACTTGGTATGGTCAGTCTTGTAATTGTAACCTTCTAATAGGTGTATGGTGGTATATTACTGTGGTTTAATTTGCATTTCCTAAATGAAAAATAATCTTGAGGTCTTTTTATTTACTTATATTGCTTATTTACTATCTACATATTTTCTCTCATAAAGTAATGTACAAATCTGAGAAGTTTCAAGTTGTTTGTTTTTTAATTGTTACATTTTGAGAGCCCTTTGCATATGCTGGGTAAAAGTCCCTTATCAGATGTCTTTTTGATCATCTTTTGTTTTTGTTTTTCAGTTTATGGCTTGACTTTTAATTCTCTGGAAAAGCAGTTTTAAATTTTGATGAAGTCCATTTTCATGTTTTTACTGGTGTTTCTAAGAACCTGTTGCCAAACTCAAGGTCACAAAATTTTCTCCTGTGTTTTCTTCTAGACATTTTATAGTTACAGGTTTCACATGGAAATCTGTAACTTACTTTGGGTTAGTTTGTGAGTCATGTATTAAAGTGCTCTCTCTCTCTCATTATTATTATTTTTTTTGCATATGGATATCCAACTGATTCAGAACATTTGTGGAAAAGACTATTCTTTCTTCACTACACTGCCTTTGCACTTTTGTCAACAATCAGTCACCCATATGTGCATGCGTCTATTTCTGTCTCTCTCTTCTGTTCCACTGATCTACCTATATATTTTTACGCCACCATGAATATTGCAATTTCTCTAAATCATGTAGTGGTACTCCTTCAACATTGTTCTTTTTTCAAAGTTGTTTTGATTAATCTCTGTCTTTGTATTTCCATGTTAACTTTTGAATTGGCTTGTCCATTTCTAAAACCTAACAAACCCTGTTGAAATTTTGAATGTGATTGCATTGAATCTATTAGAAAAATGTGGGGAAAATTGAAATTTTAAAAATACCGATTTGTTCAACTCATAAACAAGGTATATCTCTCCATTTACTTGTGTTCTTTAATTTCTTTAAGCAATGTTTTGTAATTTTCTCTGTATTGATGTTTCACATATGTTCTTAGATTATCATCATATATTTCATATTTTTGATGCTACTAGAGATGGTATTGTTATCATTTATAATTTTAATTTCCAAATGTCTCTTGATAGTATATAGAATTATAATAAACTTTTTTATACTAACCTTATATCCTGAAACAGTTATTTTTTCTAGTAATGTGTGTGTGTGTGTGTGTGTGTATTCCATTGGATTTTTACATAGATAATCATGTCATCTGCAAATAAAAACACTTTTATTTCTTCCTTTCTAGATGATTTTTCTCTCTTCCTTGCTAGATTTCATAGACTAGACAGACCCTCTACTAAACATTGAAAGAAAGTGTTGAGAGTGAACATCCTTATTTTGTTCTTGATCTTGGAAGAAATCAGTGTTAATACAATTAAGTATGGTGTTAACTGTGTATTTTTCGTAGATGCTCTTTTTTCATTTGAAGAAGTTCCCTTTTATTCCTAGAATGCTGAGAGATTTTATCAGGAATGGGTATTGATTTGTCTACATCTACTTTTTCTACACCTATTGAAAGGATCACATATTTTAATATTTTTCTGTTTAATTTTTTAACGTGATGAATTACACTGAATAATTATAAGAGGTTAAACCAACCTTGGGTTCTTGGGATTTATTATCATTTTAATATATTGGTGGATTAGTTCTGCTAAAATTTGTTTCAGGATTTTTGCAACTATGTTTATGAAGGATATTGATATGTAATTTGCTTTCTGTGTAATGGCTTTGTCTGGTTTATGTTTTAGAGAAGTACTCCTCTATGTCAATTTTCTTGAAGGTTTTGTGTGGAATTGGTACTATTTGTTCATTATTTAATATAGTTTACCACTGAAGTCATCTGGACATGGGTTTTCTTTTTATGTAAGATTTTTTTTTTTAAAGATTTTATTTATTTATTTGAGAGAGAGAGAATGAGAGATAGAGAGCACGAGAGGGGGGAGGGTCAGAGGGAGAAGCAGACTCCCTGCTGAGCAGGGAGCCCGATGCGGGGCTCGAGACCGGGACTCCAGGATCATGACCTGAGCCGAAGGCAGTCGCTTAACGAACTGAGCCACCCAGGCGCCTCTTTTTGTAAGATTTTTAACAATAGATTCAGTTGAATGGATATAATATCATTCAAATAATTCTTTCTTGAGTGTGCTTTGTTGGGCATTAGTGTCTTCCAAGGAATTTGTCCACTTTATCTAAATATTTAATTTCTTGGCCTAACATTTTTCTTTGTATTTTCTTTTTATCATTTTAATATCTCTAGATTTTGTATTAACGCAACTTCTCTCATTCTTGGCATTGTTAATTTTTGTCTTTCTCTTTTTTTTAATTAGTTGGTTTAGAAGAAAAAGTTCATTTTTCTTCTTGATGAAACTCTTTTTTTCATTGAATTTACTTTTTTTGTAAAAAGTACAGTCTATTACTTTTGTTTTTTAGTTTATTAATTTCTTCTTCAATTGATAATTTTTCTTTCTTCTACTTAATTATGTTTTAATTTGCTCTTCTTTTTCTAGTTTCTTAAGATGAAAGTTCAGTTCACTGATTTCAGATCTTTTCTTTCTTTTTAAATATAGCCATGTTGTGCTATATGTTTCCCCTTAAGCGCTAACTGTAGTGGTATGCAACAATTCTGATTTTTTTCATATTTATTTAGTTCAAAATACTTCCTAATTTCCCTTGAATTTCTGTTGTCTCATAACTCCCTTGGGAGGTTCCTGTTCCTGGATGAAATCTGAAACTGCCTCATCTCCCTTACTCAAAGGGCAAGGGGAGACCAAAGAGAGGCACGCTTCTCCAGGATGGGAGGTAGCAGGTTTAATAAGCAAAGGGAACTTACATACAAGGCTTGTCTCAGGTGGCAGCAAGACTAGTTAATCACCCACCCACCCTCCAAATATTAAAAATTTATACAGAGGCCTTAACTAGGCTCAACCGTGCACACCAGGCAGGTGTTCTCATTACCACATCACTGTCTCAAGGCTATATATCCTTGGAGCAGCTCCTGGGAGCAGAAGAGGCAAGCAGAATCCATATTTGAAAGACAGGGGAGGGAATGAGGAACCTTTGACTGCTGGTCCAGCTCACAGGTCAATTAGAGGTCATGTCTTTTCAATGACCTTCCCCAAAACTCCACCCTTCTTGACTGGCTCTCATAATCTCACGTACCCCTCTCTTCCACAATGTGCCCTGAGCAGTCAGCAAGGGGTTTCACCAGCATGGAGGTGGCTCATTTGGTGGCTCTCTGGCTGCACT